ATTTTTAAATTGTGTAAATTCGGTATTTTCCTCATGACCACTAAGTTTTCAGGAATATTTCACATATTTCTGTTACAAGTACTTTGTTTAATTTATATTATATAATTATTTGCTCCCAATCTTTGGTTCGTGTTTTCATTTTCTTAGATATCCTTTAAGGAGTAACAAGTTTTTAAATTTGGCAAAGTCCCATCTTGTTAATAATTGGGACCTTGGGGTCCTATTGTTCTTTTTTCTATTCTTTATTGGGAGGGGTCGAACTCAAGGTTACTGATATTTTCTTCTATAATTTCTTATAGAAATTTTACAAGCTCTTACATTTAGGTCTATAATTCATCTTGAAGTAATTTTTGTACACGGTATGAGGTAAAGGTCAGAGCTTCTATTTTTATACATGGCTATCCAGTTGTTCAAGCACCACTTGTTGAAAAGATTGCTATGCCCTCCACTGAACTGTCTTCTTGGCATCTTTGTGAAAAAAAATCAATTGTATGTGTTTAGGTCTCTTTCTAGAGTCTCCTGTTCCACTGACCTACATGATTCTCTTTGCTCTAATACCCTTGACCTTGATTACAGTAACCTTGTAGTGAACTCTAAAATCTGATAATATGAATCCTTCAACTTGTTCTTTTTTCAACATCACTCTTAGACCAGAAGAGGCCCTTTATATACCTATATAAACTTTAAAATTAACTCAACAATTTCTATGAGAAACCTTACTGAGATTCTGATTGAAACTACATTAAATCTACTAAATATCTAGGGGGAAACTGAGTTCATAATAATACTGAGTGTCCCCACCCCGAATACGGTATACCTTTCCACTTCTTTAGATCTTTATTTCAGTAGTTTTATCATTTCCAATGAAAAAGTCCGGCACATATTTTACCAACTTTATCCAATTTCACCTTTGATTTTCTTATAAATGGCACTTTAATTTCAGTTTTCAATTTCTCACTGCTATTATAGAAATATGATTGATTTCTGTGTATTAATTGGGATCCTGCAAACTGGCTGAACTCCTTTGTTGGTTCTATTGACCCTTTTGTAGATGCCTCATAATTTTTGTTGGTGTTGCTGTTTTACAATCTTTTGTCTGCAAATAAAAACAGTTTTACTTCTTCCTCTGTGCTCTGTATGCACTGTATTTCTCAAAACTTCCATGGTGCATTGACCAGACTCTGGTATCATGTTGAAAAAATGGAAAGAGCAGACACCCTTGCCTCATTTCTGAGTACAGGGAATATTATCCATCCTTTCACTACTAAGACAAGGATTTCATAGATGGCCTTTATCTAGGTGAAAAAATTCCTGCCTGCTTCTAATGCACTGAGAAACTTTATAATGACTGGATATTGAATTTTCTCAAATGCTTTTTCTGTTATCTGTTAAGATGATCACACAGATCTTCATTTCTACCCTGTTCACATGAAGAGTTGGACTGACAGTTCTATAAATACTAAGTTAACCTTGCAGTCCTGGTTATAAACCTCATCTAGTTATGAGGTACTATCCACTTACTATGGTGTTGAATTTAATTAACCTAAATGTAAGACCTTTTGCATCTATACGGTCATGAAGGACGCCTGTCTGCCACTTTCTTGGTTTGTAATGCCTTCATCGTGTATAATTTCAATCCACAAAATGACTTGGGGTGTGTTTCTTTCTCTTCTATTTATTGAGAGAATCCACATAGAGTGGGTAATGTTCCGCCCTTCAGTGGTACAGTATGTCATTATTAAAGCCCTGGGGGACACTGAGGTGCATTGTTGAACTTTTCTACTTACAATTTCAATTAGGTTAACAGTTGTAAAACTACCTAATTTGAGGAATTTTTTAAATATTTATTTATCATTTTTGTTATTTTATGTGTATGCATGTATTGCTTCATGTATTGCTGCATGTATGTAAGTGCACCCATGTCATGCAATGCCCATGGAGGTCAGAAGGAGTGTCAGATCCCCTGGATCTGGAGTTACAGATTGTTAGCCACCATGTGGGAGCTGGGAACCAAAACTGGGTCCTCTGCAAGAGCAGCCAGTGCTCTTAACCACTGAACCATCTCTTTGCCCCCAATTTGAGGGGATTTTAATAGTTTATATCTTTTCAAGGAATTTGTTCATCTCATCCTAATTATGGAGTTTACTAGCACAACATTGTTTATAATGTTCCCTTATTATCATCCTTTATAGTGTTAGTAGGCTCTGTAGTAACGATCTATTTCTCATTTCTAATACTGGTCATTTGTATCCTGCACCTCCTCACCTTGATCATTCTGACTTGAGGTTTATTAATTAAAAAAATTTTAATCTGCTTTTTCATTATTAATTTTTCTCTATTTTCCTGTTTTCTGTTTTATCAATGTCTATTATTTTTAACACTTCCTTATTTCTAGCTAAATTTAACTTCCTTGGGTTCAAGGGGAAAACATGGGTCTTGGGTGATTTGAGATCTTTATTAATTTTAGTGTCTGGTGTGATAAATTTCATTTAAGAAAACTTTTAGCTGTATCTCACCACCTTCTTGGATCTTATGTATACTGAAAGAAGTACATGTACAGTCAGTACAGAAATATGAGTGTTGAGACATCAGGCTTGGCACCAGATATGCATTGTATTAAAATAGATCTAATCCTCGTCCCCATCAAGTTTAGCAGAGAATACCATTAAACTTGTACTAAAACCAATGTTAATAATTATCTTTTTGATATTTAGGAAGTATCTTAGGCAATAAAGTGGAGACAGTTGCTTCATCTGTTCTAATGAGAAGTGCTTGTATTTTATAATAAACTTACAGCTACATTTCTTTCTCATAATCCAGTATAAACAGAGCTACTATTTTTTAAGTCAGCCATTTGTAGTTCTACTTGCAACTACAATAAGTTTGATTCCTCCTCTAGAACCATCTGAAAAAAACCATACATTTCAATTTGATAAACAAAAATAAGCATTTCTATAATCCTGTATTTCAAAGTTACCTTTTGGTCTATAAAAGATCATTGTTAAAATGCATTCCATGTTGTTCCAGGTATTTACTTAAAAAGAAAAAAAAAAATTCTGGTCATTCTGTCCTCAGTTTCAAAATACTTAGAACCTTATAAAAAATACATCTCTGCCTTCTAAGTGAATATAAATGCATAACAAATCACTGGTTCCATAATTTGGGCCAATTATAGATTTAGAACCTTAAATCACATTTAAGTCTTCTTTCATTCAGTGGAACAATACACAACTCAGTGCTCCCCCTAGGAACTTAACCCTACACTGTGGCTTCACGCAAACCTCATCTCTAGGTCTTCATTTAGGCCCCATGTTCTCACCTTAACTACTTGTGTCATCCAGGAAGCTTTTAAGTACCAAGACTGGAATCCTTCAGCCAGAGATTCTTATCCAGCATATTTGAAAGTGGAGGTATTTAAAAGCTCCCACATGATTCAAATCTTCAGACCAGCCTAGGCTGTTTCCAGCAAGACATACTTACAGCAGATGGCCACCATGTACCACAGTACTCCAGTACCTAATTCCTTTACCATTTGGCACAGTCCAACTCATAATCAAACACTAACTCAACATTCATATGTTCAATTCTATTTCGTGCTGAGAAATTCACAGGATGATATATAAATTTCTAAGGAAGCTGAAGTAGGAGGATTGCCCCAAGTTCAAGGCAGCCTCAGCTACTGGGTGAGGTCCAGTCTCAAAACAACCCCAAAGTAAATTTCTAACTGTATTTTAGCCAATTCTTTCTAGCTCACTTCTAAATTCCAAAAAGAAAGTTAAACTGAAATGAAATTAACATCATAACTTCAAGACCAATGTTAAACAGTCATAACAGTTTTTTTTTACACTTCTATTTAAAAGATGCAGCTCTATAGGCCATCTGTAAATTTTACAGAATATGTGATAAAACTATCAATGCTCCAAAGTGTAAAATACATACTTAAAAGAATCTTTGTCATCCATCTGATTCTACCACTTGTTAATTTCTAACAGATTTTCAATACTGATTGACATTCTGGGTTCCAAACTGAACTCCTTTAAGAACTGAAATCATTAAACTCTTCAGTCTTCAAAGCCGGTAGTGCATTTTGCCAGACCACTTCATTATAATTATCATTTCGGCATCTCAGAGTAAGAACAATAACACCACCATCACAAAGACAGTGTGAGAGTTAAGAAGCAAAAGCATTTTGGCACCGAGTGGAGCACTCTAGAAATTTTATTTACAGTAGAAATTCTGTCTCGTGGGAAAGGCAGAGGCAAGTGAGAATTTGCACGCAGCTACATGTCAACACACAGGGAGGAAGAGCCACCAAACCTACCAAGGCACTGATCACCACTTCTCAGACCAATAGTTTGGAAACACCACTGCTGGGCTCAGGCACCCCAGGCTGACTGCACTTCACAGCAAACACAGGTAAGTCTCACCTCCACGGGGGAAACTGCTAAACAAAACTTTGCCAGGATGCAAAGCCATGCACTCTGATCCCTGCCAGTGTAGCTTTTGTACCTCTGGGACATAATGGATGTGCATGCTGAAACACGTGTGCATGTCTGCGCGGCTGAACCAACATGTATCCATAAACACTATGAATAATACTCGCGAGAATGTATGGCTTTCTCCTAAGAAGCGCTGGAAGCACTTTACTCAACAGTGTCACTTTCCTATCACCCCTTCCTCGCCATTTACCTATGGAGAAGAGATGGGATGCCTAACAGCCCTGGAGGGAAGGAGATGGCTGTCCTATCTCACCCCTTATTCCAAAGTTGAGGTCCACAAAGTGGACCGTGTCCCGGCCAGCTTCCCGGAGGCACACCTGCTCCCGCACACACCCACTGCTGCGCGTCAGCAGTGCCGGCCACCCAGGAGAGAACCGACGTCTGGAGGGAATTCCCTCCGCTGGGGCGCGATGAGAACGCGGGACCCTGGAGAGTTCTGAAACACCGAAGAAGAGGAGAAGGTCGAGGAGACACAAAACAGCGAGGCCGCCCGCTACTCACCCAGCCCTCGAAGGTGTCGGAGGCGCCCGCGGTGCGCAACAGCTCTTGGAACTGCAGCGTGCAGTTGGCCACAAAGTGGTCGTAGCCCAGGGGCGTCTCGTGGAAGACCGCCAGCTCCAGGTGGCCGCCGTCGGTGACGTTAGCGCAGAACTCCTCATTGTACGTGGGTTTGTTGGTCTTCTGCTTGGTACTCGTCTGGCCCACGCGCACCTGGTCCACGCTGACCGTCAGGTAGGGGTCCAGCAGCTGATAACCCTTCTTAAAGAGCGAGTGGCGCAGGGACCAGCGCGTGGGCTGCAGCCCCACCGCCTCGCCAATGCGGACCCTCAGGTAGCCATTGAACTTCATGGTTCCGGACGACATGCCGGCGCTGATGCCCGGGTCCGGGGGTCCCGCTGGCTGGCACGCGAGATCCGGGAGCCCCGGCTCAGGGCAGACTTCTCGGCAGCCGTAGGAGTGGAGGCAGCTCCGGGGAGACGCGGCGCCCGAGCCCCCCTCGACCGGCCATCCTGCCTCCTCCGGGGACCTTCCCTCCCCTCCTTCCCTCCCGCCCTTTCCTCCTGGAAAGGAGGGGAGCCGGGCTCCAAAGCCGGGCTCCGACCGTCCCTCCGGAGCGCGCGGCGCTTCCCGGGGCTCGCGAGTGACTCGCCCCTTCTCCGTGGCCGGGCAGAGCGTCTCCGCGGAGATCAGGAGCGACCCGTCCGGCTAGCTCCAGCCCTGGCGTCTCTGCCCCCGCCTCCGCCGGCTTCTCCTGCCCCCGCCTCCGCGGGCTCAAGCTCTCCCCCACTCGGCGAGCAGCGAACCAGGAAGCTGCAGCCACTGCATCCCGGGCAGGAGCCGAGCACCGTCAGGCTTCAAGTTCTCAGCACCCGGCCGTTGACTCCCGCGCCTTCCGGACCCCGGGGGCGTGGCCCGCCGCAGGCAGCCGAGCTCAGACGGTGTGGGTGCCGGGAACACGAGGTGGAGCTCCGCGCCCCTCGCCAGACCGCTGGGCTCTGTGTGCTCTCCCCGATTCCTGTTCCTGCTGCCGGGCCTGGCGGGACGCTGCGGGCTGGGGGCAGCCCTAGGCGCAGGCCAAAAAGAAAGGGTTCGGGGCTCACCAGGAGCAAACACCTGAGGCATGGGAAACCGGCGGGGGTGGGGGGGCGGTTCGGGG